AACAACCACCTATATTTTAGCTTTTATTGTAGCCCAGGAATAGCACTTAGAACAGGGCATTAAATAAATGATTATTTATTACAGTTGTTACTGATTTATAAGCCTGAGCTGTCTAGTATAGTAGCCACTAGCCACATGTGATGATTTAAATCTAAATTATTTAAAATTAAATAAGATGAAGAACTCAGTTCCTCTGTCACACTAGCCACATTTCAAGCGTCCAGTGACCCCTGGTAGCTGGTGGCCGCTGAGTTATTGGACAGTGCAGATGCAGAATATTTCTGTCACTGCAGTAGGCTCTGTTGGACGGAAGTGGTATCAACTAACTTTCATGGGCCTGCATGTCCTTCCTGGGGTCTAGGCCTATATAGGTGCAGTGCCCAAAGATGTATAGCATGCAGGACTAGATTCAGGGGAATGCCAAGGTCCAGAGGTTCTGGAAGCTTTGCCTTTTCATTGAGCGTACTCCTTGTCCGGGGGGAAGGTTCCTGGGGGGAGAGAACTGTGGGATCCCTATGGATAGTCCCTGCCACCAGCAGGTGCAGCCCCTTAAGGTATCAGATTAGGGAAGTGAATGCTGAAAGGGGGAGTTTTTACTAAGCTAGCAGTTTCTTGAAATTCTGAATTGGGACCTGCCTTCTGATTCCCGAGGACAGTGAAGCCCTCGGAGCTGGAGCTGAAAAGGAACCCTGGAGATCAGAGGCCCTACTCTGTTCAGCATTTGTGTCTTTTGGCCTTAAAAGAACATTTAGAAGTTTTTGGTGAGTGGCAATATCCCTCACCTGTGTGTGTGTGTGTGTGTGTGTGTGTGTGTGTGTGTGTGTGTGAGAGAGAGAGAGAGAGAGAGAGAGAGAGAGAGAGTTTATTTAGAAGCTGGTTGAAGGTGACTTTGGGGCTTCTTTAGCTAAAATATGGGTGCCATTTGCAGTAGATGCTGACTCAGCTTCATGGGTGGCCATTTTGTGAGTGTATAACCCATAGTCATCATCAATGTACGTTGATGGCGCATGCACAGCTTGCCCTGAGGTACACAGAGCATACAGGGGACACACATGGTCTCTGTCCCTATGGCTCATGTGCCAAGTGGCTGGTGAGTTGAGAGTCGACCAGCTTTCCTGGGCTTGTGTGATCAGAGAGGGCTCCCTGTATTGTGCACACAATGTCTTGAAGGTGACCATAACTTTGTGCCTAGAGATATCCTATGTAGGACTGGCTCCAGCCGCAGGTGAGGGGCAGTGGGCTGATGCTTTCATTCTTTCTTATTATTTATTTATTTTTTTTATCTTTCAACTAACATCATCTAGGCTGGTGCTTTCTGAGGGCTGCCAGTGGCAGAGACAAGTGCAGATATGAATCCAGTCTAAAGGAAATGGTGGAGTAGATCTTCAGCACACAGATACGTGTTGCTGTCTTGTCCTCTTGATCTGAAATGCCCTTCTTTTTGTCCTAATTTATTCAAATTTGATTTCAGGGACCAATCCTGTGTATCTATCAGGAGCCAGTCACACCAGTAATCTGACTGGGGAAAACGTTTTATTTTTTTAATTTCTGAGATCTTTATTTCATGCTGATTATCATGTAAGTAAACTGCAGAACACACACTGCATTAAAAAGTTCAGAATGGAATCCAGTCTTTTATTTATTTATTTATTGACTATTTATTACAGTTTTTATTTAAATTCCATTTAATTAACATACAGTGTAATATTAGAGTTAGGTGTACAATATAGTGATTCAACACTTCCGTACCTCACCCAGGGCTCATCACAGCAAGTGCGCTCCTTACTCCCCGTCACCTCTTTCTCCCATACTACTTTCTAGCTCCATCCATGTCGTTGCGAATAGCAGGATTTCATTCTCTTTTATGGCTGAGTAATATTCATATATATACATATATATATATCACATCTTCTTTATTCATTCATCATGGGCCGTTTCCATAATTTGGCTGGTGTAGATACTACTGCTATAAACACCGGGATGCATGTATCCCTTTGAAGTAGTATTTTTGTATGCTTTGGGTAAATACCTACTAGTGTGATTGCTGGATCATAGGGTAGCTCTAGTTTTAACTTTCGGAGGAACCTCCATACTGTTTTCCAGAGTGGCAGCACCAATTTGCATTCCCACCAACAGTGCAGGAGGGTTTAAGTGGGGAAAACTTAAAAGATTATTAACTGGTAAAAGTAAAAGGCCGATAACTCCTAAAAGGAGTAAAAGAAGATTCTAGGGTGGAGAAGTAGTAAACCCATAAAGCAGATGCTCCGTCTGGGGCTGAGGGGTAGTCAGCAAGGACAGACCTCAGCCGAGGGCTGCACACCTGGGAGGCTGAGGTGGAGGTCTGCCTCGTGGGGAGGAGACACACGGTGGAAGGCACAGTCCACGGGACCAGGCTGCTGGGTGGTGGTGGAATTTGCAGGAGGGTGTGGCCCAGAGCTACTGGATGGGAGCAGCCTGCTGGCTGGTCAGAACACTTGCTGGAGGGCGTGGGCCCGAGTTGGTCCATCAGAGGGGCCTACCTGGTAGTGGGGAAATTTAGTGAGGGTGGGCTGGTCTGGGAGGGCCACTGAAGGGCACACCCCAAACCACCGGCCTCCTGGCTGCTGAGCTAAAATGACACACTGGCACCAGGAAGAGAGCCCCTTTGCCCTGCTTTGGCCTCAGTGGCCCTCCAGAGCCAGCTGTTGACAAAGCCGGATAAGAAGCCATCTGACAGAGGAGAAACGACAATGTGCAGCCCCCGGGTCACAGCACAGGGCGGAGGAGGGTGGACTTGGAGCCTGGGGGCCATAGATCTGAGTACCACACACCCACCTGCCCTCCTGTGAGCCAAGCCTCGCCTCTAATTCCAGCCTCCTTGTTTCTTGCATCTGAGCCCCTGCGGTTCTCAGTGTGATCCTGGTGTTGCGAGTCATTCTCTGCGTGCGAGCGGCTCGGTCACGTCTTCCCATGTGCTGTGGCGGCGGGGGGGGCGGGCACGGAACCTGGCCTGCTGTCGTCCCAGTGAATACACAGTGGCTGAGGTCTTTACTGGGCAGGGAGGGGAAGGGGGTGTGTCCTCACCTCACCTTCCGGTCCTCTGCTTCCCTGTGGTCTTGACTCCAGAGCAGCTTTGACGTGGGGGCTGTGTGTGCCTCCCTGGGGGACAGGGCGGCTGGCTGCCGGCCGGATGTGGGCTGCAGTCGTGCTGTATCTCAGGGCTGATGGATTGTGGATGCCTGTCTGTTGCTTCTCATTTGGGCAGTGATTATGACCTCTCCTCCTCTGGGCTGGAATTTGGGGAATGATTATTTGAGCTCCAAGAAGTCATTTGTTCACACCAGCCTGGACCTTTGCTCTGGGAGGAAATGCCCAGTTCCGTGTTTGACCACGTGTGCCTTCTTTCTCACTTCCTTGAAACCAAGGCTTGAGCATGGCCTTGGCCAGCCACACCACTGATTTCCTGCCGTCTGCCACTGGTCTGCTGAGTCCCCAGCTCCAAAGTCTTAAAGAGAATCCACCCCTTTCCTACAATCCTTTGACCCATCTAAGAGCACGCTCTCTCTCTTAATTTCTTAGGATTAATGTCCTTCTTCCTGGTCCTCCTGTCAGGGAAAAAAAAGATTGTGCGTGGCCCAGCTTGGACCAGGTATTTGCGTCCAGGCTGGAGGACTCTGCCCAGGTGGATGGAGCATGTGTGTATAGGGTTCCCCGAGAGTGCAATGGGGTGGGAAGCAGAGGCAGTGGGAAGCGGATGCCCACAGGGGCCTCAGGACAGCTCCCAGCGCTGGAGTCTGGGGCATCTCCTCTGCTGTGGTGGGGCAGGGCAGATGGGCTCCCTGGCTGCTGGGACAAGGGTGTTGGGGACTGTGGTGTTATCTTCTTAATTTCTAAAGGAACAGTTTTCTGTGTGGTTCACTTGGCAACTAATTGTATAGGATCTTTAACTGTTTCTTCCATCGTTGTTGCCAAAAGTTATTTAATTCCTCAGGTGGTTTATTGCCTCCAATATGTGCTTAATTATGTCAGCATCTTCTATAACACTTAAGAGAGTGTAAGTCCATCGTAGATGTTTACCCCCTCTTGGTTGATTTTGTGGGTGGAAGAGGTTCCCACAGGGTACTGGACTCCCTTTCGTTCTGTCTGTGCCCATGGCCCTGTCCTGCCTCAGAAGCTGTAGCTCCAGGAAGGCAGGACCCTCACAGTTCCAAGACCCTTGGCTGAGCTGGAGTGATACGTGGGGGATATACAGCCTGGAGCCTAAGGGGGGCCATCTCCCAGCTCTGGAAGGACAGAGGGCATCAGGCTGCAAGTTAAGGCTGCCCTGTCCCAGGCGACCCACCCAGCTGCCTGTTCCATGCACCTGACATTTCCCAGTAAACTTTTCTTCCAGTTAAGAGGAGATCCTTGTGAAAGTGTGCTGAGTTAAAAGAGCCTCAGGTTTGGAGCATTTTCTAGACCTCCTTTGATCTTTATGAGCTATTTCTTCCTAAGCACAACATCTGAGTTTCTTATTTTTAAAGATGCCAGTACCTGACTCCCTGAGCTGCTGTGAGGATTCAAAGAAATGATGCACATGACCATGTTTTAGAAACTGTAGACCTTTAAGCAGATAGTGTTATTAGTGTATCTGAGGCTTGGGTGGCACGTACTTTTACTCTGTGTACCCTCAACTGAATCATTAGTAGATTAGATTTGGTTAAAAGCCTTGAACAAGTGCTCTGGTTCCTGGGCCGGGTGACTTCTGATGGGAAGAAGACCAGAAGCATGGGGGTATCGGGTGTCTGAGGAGCCTGGCCTCAGGCTGAGGCTAGAATCGACTGCTCTACGTCCCAGGACTGAAGGAAAGCACCGAAGCAGAAGGCGAGTGAAGGGGTGTGTGTGTGTGTGTGTGTGTGTGTGTGTACACGTACTCTGGGGAGCGAATCAGCATTTTCCAGCAGAGGGGGCAGGAAGAGGGAACGATGCCCAGTGGACAGTGGGCGCTCACACCTCTCTGGCGCTGGCCTGTCTCCCTGCAGGTGCACCTCCGTTCTGCCAGGCGTCTCTGTGAGCTGTGCTGTGCCAACCGGGGCACTTTCATCAAGGTGGGCCAGCACCTGGGGGCCCTGGACTACCTGCTGCCGGAGGAGTACACCAGCACGCTGAAGGTGCTCCACAGCCAGGCCCCGCGGAGCAGCATACAAGAGGTCCGCCAGGTCATCCGCGAAGACCTGGGCCAGGAGGTAGGTAGCTGCCAGGGCCAGGACAGCTGGGTCCTGGGCTGCCGTGCTTCTCGAAGGCCCTGGCAGAGCTCTCGCTGCTGGGGGGCTGGGGCTCCACCGCTGGAGTGGAAATGTACTTCCCGGCAACTCTCAGTAGTGAAATCAAAGGGGTTACAAGGCGCCTCAGTGGCCCTCCGTAAAAAAGATGACTTGAACCATCTGAAATAGTTGATATGCGATTGCTGTTGTTCTGCAATGTATTGGGATTCATAGGGTCCAACCTAATAACATCTGTCAATTATTGAGGGTTTACCATGTGAGAACAGCTATACTGTGTCCCCTGCATTATCTCACCTCCTCCTCAGGGTAAACGTGGGAGGTAGGTACTGTTATTTACCCCATTTTGCAGATGAGGGTTAAAGGCTTAGGTGGAGGAGATTCAGCGAAGGGTAAACCCAATTTAGGGCTGGAGGCCAGGAGGAGCTGGGTTCGGATGGAGGGACCCCAGGCGGAGGGCACAGGATTGGCACGGCACAGGCCTGTGCGTGGCTTTGCTTCTTGCCAAGACTATGGGCCTCCTGCTTCCTATAGCACGAGATTCACCCCCAAATTAAAACTAAGTAAATCACTGTAATAACAGTGCGAAGTGCATCATTGCTGGCATGTGGCAGCTCAGTGGGGGCGGATGCAAGGGAAGGAAGACAGCAGATTAACCCTTGGAGGCCGGCTTGTCTGTGGAGAGCCGGAGGGGGAGGCGAGAGCTGGTTAGTGGCCCCCTCTAAGTCAGAGTGGAGTGAGATGAGAAGTTTGGGGTGTCAGCTTCATGGTGGGGCCCACCCAGCTGGCCAAAGGATGTTTGGGGTTAAAAGATTTCATCTGCATCTTCAGGGCCTCTTCTCTAGTCCCCCTGGCCATGTAGTCCTGAGCTTGTCTCAGGGCCTCAGAGAAGGGAGGCTAATGTCAAGGTCATGGTTCTGAGGGGGCGTCCTTCACAGCTGGGAAGCTCAGCAACCTCTGGTTTCTTAACCCAGCCCCCACAGGTGCACAATTGAAATCTTTGCTCTCCCCCTGCTTCCTCCTCCCTCCCGGGAAGATGGCATTTGTTCTCTGGTGACACACTTTCTCAGTCTGTGGGTGGAGGGAGGGGAAAGGGGCTGCGTGGGAAGCAGGGTAGGTGGGTGTGGGGGTGTGAGGGCGGGGAAAGTCACTCACTCTGCACTTCCCTCCTCCTCCCGCCTCTCCCATGACACTGATGGGGAGCAGCTCTCCCCACCAGGAAGAGGTCTGAGCGGATCCCACTGATTGTGGGCTCCACACCGGCCCTGGGACCCTCCGTGGAAAGCTCTGTTTCATCCCTGGTTTCAGGAATGTGGTTAAAGGGAGCTGAGACTGTCATGTATCACCATCTGTTGGCTGGGTTCAAGTTCTTGGATGGGCTCTGAAGACCCCTGGAGCTCAAAGACTGCGTAGCTGCCCCTAAATCTTAGACTGAAAGAGCAGGGAGGGTGGCTAGAGGGAGCTCGAGGCTGGTGTGTTGGGGCTGCACTGGTTGATTGCATCTATGCCTCTTGAGGACCCTTCCCATCAGCAGAGGCCTTACAGGGTCACTGGTGTCCTCACACCAGTCCCTGTCCCACGCAGATGGGGCTGGCCCTGAGGGGTGTCCCCAGCAGGGTGTGGGAGATGGGAGTGAGCTTGCATCTCTCCTGAGCCCCGTGATTTGCATGTAGCTCTGAATCCGTGCGAATCCCTGTACAACAGCCAGTGCAGTCAGCGTGGAGGGAGAGCGAGTAAAGGGGCACTGTCATGGCATAGGGGTATGTGTGGCTGGGGTGGGGGTGGGGCCGCAAAGCTAAGGGAGAAGGGTGTGAGTGACAGGATGAGACCTCGGATCTTCTGACTGCCAGGCTAGTGCTTTGTCTCCTATGTAACAGAGCTCCTGTTTGGCAGAAATCGTTTGGAAATCTATTTTCTGTGTCTGTATATCTGTGTCTTGGAAGTTTCTCAGCTAATATTACCAGAAAGAAGCTTGCTTTTTTTCCTTTTATTTTAAATGCTAGGCTTAAGTCTTGAAAGGATCTGGAAAGCAGGTAGCAGCCCGAACTCTAGGAGGTGGGGTCATTTCTGGTGACTCCAAAGTGACCTGGGTCTGGAGAGGGTTGGAAATGGTCTCCGCCTTGGTGCGCTAACTGCCCTTGGGACTATAGGTCAAGGTGCAGTGCCGACCATAGCCAGCAGATGGCGCCGGAGCTTGAGCGTCAGGGAAGGATGCTGAAGACTTGGCCCTTTCCAGGGGAGCCCTGACTGGCTGAGACTTGAGTTCTTTCTTCTCCTGGTCATGGTTCATGCTGTGGAAGGAGCCCAGGCTGACACCTTTGCACCCTGAATGGGGCAAACATAGGCCTAAGCCATGAGGCTATTGACCCCCTTGGTCCCCAGGAGTTCTTGGCTCCCTGCTGGAGGACCTGGCAGGATTCTGATCACCAACCCATCCTTACACATTCCTCTTCTGGACTAGGAGTCCTCAGAGGCCCCCTGCAGGCATGAGCAGCCTGTAGTTCTGTGTTTTGGTACCTGTTCGTTCATTTTCCTTTCCTTCTCTCTCGTAGTCCAAGCAGCTAGTATTTAGTGAGGAAGGCACAGTGCTAGAAGCTTTGGGTTTAGCCAAGGTTGGGTAAGACCTCATTCCAGCCCTTGTAGTGTGGGGTCATTGGGAGGTACACATCACTGTGATAGCTGGCAATGTACATGCCCACAGGGTTTACAGGAAAGAGAGAGGGAGACAGATGGGGAGAGAGGTTACTTTTGGGTGGGTGGAGGCTGTCTGAAGCTGATGGCATCTGACCCAGGCTCTCAGGGATGGCTGGGATTGGAGGAAGCAGAGGGACTTCTGATTGGTGAGATGGGCTAAGCAAAGGTATAGGCACCGGAAAGCATAAAGTACAGAGATTGTGTGGTGATAGTCTTGTTAACTAGCAAATGGGGTTCAGGTTGGTGAATAGTGGAGCTGAGATTGCAAAGTTGGTGCCGAGGTCACACTATGAAGGGCCTCGAATGTTTTTTTCATAACATGAGCCTGAGGGAGAGGGGAACTTGGAGAGGGACTCAAGCAAAGGAGGATGGGGTGGGGCAGATTTTCTTAGTGAGGTGGGAGATGAGGTCATCTTTCCCAGGTGGGGAAAGGGAAGGTGGGAGGTTTGAGGTGGGTAGAAAGCTTGGGAAGGGGAGTTATAGTGGGACTTAGGAAGAGATGATAGAATTGTCAGCTGCACTGGTACAGTTATCGGTGGTCATGGACCTCCTCACATCCCTCCTCCCACCCCCCTCCTTAACACACACACACACACACATACACACACACAGAGTCTGATCTCATTACAGTATATTTCAGCAAATGATCCAGTTTTGTTTTTTGTTTTGGAATATACTTGAATCAGATTAAGGTTCTTTCTAGCTCTAAAATTGTATGAGAAACTGAAGGAAATGAGGTCAGCTGCCAGAGTGATGCACAGAAATACCTTTGTTAGGGGCACCGCTTGTACTGGTGTTGGGAGATTGGGGTTCGGCTTGTGTACTCTGAAATATGTTTTTTTTTTTTAAACTGCAGTATTTTATTAATTTCTGACTCTTTCTAAATTATTTATTTATTTTAGAGAGAGAGAGAGTGTGTGTGCACATGTGCAGGGGGGAGGGGCAGAATGAGAGAGGATCTCAAGCAGACTCCACACTGAGTGTGGAGCCCAATGTGGGGCTTGATCTCAAGACCCTGAGATCACAATCTGAGCTGAAACCAAGGGTTAGATGCTTGACCGACTGTGCCACCCGGATTCCCCTCTGAAACATGATTTATCATATCAGTTTTTTACCCCTGAGCTCCCACAGGGTGGGGATCTAGACTTGAACTTGTTCTGTAACTTCCTATAGTACCCAGGGACACATGCTGTGTGTCACAGGAGATCCATGTTCTTGATGGATCATCTGACCAGAGTGGCCATTGGAACATGGAAGAGAACCACTGTGCATCAAGTGGGTGAATGGTTGTGGTTTCTTATGGACCTACAGGTACAGGTGGAGGGTAACATTCTTGTCTTGCTTTAAAGGCTCAAGGTATAAACAAAAGTTCAGGAAAGAGATAAAGAAACTTTTCCCCCAGGAACCTCTGTCATTTATTAAGCTTGAGTGGGGGGTGGCAGAGAGAAGGCACTCTTGGCTTGAGGACCAGCAGGACCAGAAGTGGAAGGCAGGGAGGTGAGGTAGGAGAATGCCTGGCCCATATGAGGGCTTCCTGGTGGTGGGGGCACCAGGTGGGGGCAGTGCAGACCCTGGACAGAGGTTGGAGCAGGGGCTTCCATTGAGGCCTCAGGGCTGGGTGAGGGGGCTCTGGGCATGGATGGGGGATGGCAAACTCTGGGCTGATCCTCGTCATTTCTGAATGCCTGCATGTAGGACCTCTGCTGGTACATGGAGAACTGTGGGAAAAGCAGGAAAAGGCACCCCCTCTGGGCACCCCTTCCTGCAGGTGGCAGCTCTGCCAGGGCTGGATTTCCTTCTTCTATTAGTCAGGGTTCTCCAGAGAAACAGAGTCAATAGGGTGTGTGTGTGTGTGTGTGTATGTGTAAAATAAGTAAAAAGAGATTGACTGGTTTTAAGGAATTGGCTTATGCAATTGTGGAGGCTGGTAAATCTTGCATCTTTGGTGCGAGTGAGGAGGCATTTGGTTGGAGATCCAGGAAGAGCCGATATTGCAGTTTGAGTCTAAAGACCATCTGCTGGCAGAATTCCCTGTTGCTCCAGGAGGTCAGTCTTGTTCTAGGCAGGCCTTCAACTGATTGGATGAGGCCCACCCACCTTATAGAGGGCCGTCTGCTTGACTCTAAGTCTACTGATTTTTTTTCAAAGATTTTATGTATTTATTTGACAGAGAGAGATACAGCGAAAGAGGGAACACAAGCAGGGGGGGTGGGAGAGGGAGAAGCAGGCTTCCCGCCGAGCTGGGAGCCTGATGTGGGGCTCGATCCCAG